GAGCTGGTCCAGTGTTCCGCGACCAGGACGAAAACCGCATTGTTCCTCCTGTATCCGAGGTTCGACTAACGGACGAACTCTCCTTTCCAGAACCCTGGCATAGACTTTCCCAGGGAGGCTGAGGAGTGTGATCCCCCTGTAGTTGGAACACACCCTCCGGTCCCCTTTCTTAAAGATGGGGACCACCACCCCGGTCTGCCAGTCCACAGGTACTGCCCCTGATCTCCACGCAACATTGCAGAGGCGTGTCAACCAGGACAGCCCTACAACGTCCAGAGCCTTCAGGAACTCGGGGCGGACCTCATCAACACCAGGGGCTCTGCCACCAAGGAGTTGTTTAACTGCCTCAGTGACCTCGCCCCCGGAAATTGGCGGGTCATTCCCCTCATCCCCAGACTCTGCTTCCTCCTCGGAAGACGTGTCAGTGGGATTAAGGAGGTCCTTGAAGTATTCCTTCCACCGCCTGACAATTTTCTCAGTCGACGTCAGCAGCGCTCCGCCAGCACTATACACAGTGCAGGTAGAGCACCGCTTTCCCCTCCTGAGACGTCTGACGGTTTGCCAGAATCTCTTCGAGGCAGTCCGAAAGTCTTTTTCCATGGCCTCTCCGAACTCCTCCCACACCCGAGTTTTTGCTTCAGCCACTGCCCGAGCCGCATTCCGCTTGGCCTGTCGATACCTGTCGGCTGCCTCCGGAGTCCCACGGGCTAACCAAGCCCGATAGGACTCCTTCTTCAGCCTAGTGGCTCCCTTCACCTCTGGTGTCCACCATTTTGTTCGGGGATTACCACCACGGCAGGCACCAACCACCTTGCGGCCGCAGCTCAATGCAGCAGCTTCGGCAATGGAGACGCTGAACATGGTCCATTCGGACTCAATGTCCCCAGTCTCCCTCGGAATGCTGTTGAAGCTCTGCCGGAGGTGTGCGTTGAAGATCTCGCGGACTGGGGCCTCTGCTAGACGTTCCCAGCACACCCTCACTACGCGTTTAGGTGCACCAGGTCTGTCCAGCGTCTTCCCCCGCCACCTGATCCAACTCACCACCAGGTGGTGATCAGTTGACAGCTCAGCCCCTCTCTTTACCCGAGTGTCCAGAACATATGGTCGCAGGTCTGCTGATACGATTACAAAATCGATCATCGACCTACGGCCTAGAGCGTCCTGGTGCCACGTGCACTTATGGACACTCTTATGTTTGAACAGGGTGTTCGTTATGGCCAAACTGTGATTAGCACAGAAGTCCAATAACAGAGCACCGCTCGGGTTCAGATCAGGGAGGCCGTTCCTCCCAATCACGCCCCTCCAGGTCTCGCTGTCGTTACCCACGTGAGCATTGAAGTCTCGTTTAGTTGTAGCTTCATTTAAAGGAAGAAGAGCTTGTGAATTGGAACCACCACAGGAAAAGAGAGTGAAGCCATATGTGTAGAAGAATGCGGTGACATATGATACTACCTCCTGTGTTAACAGACAAGCTAACGGTCTCTCTCTCCTTTTATGGGAATGTCTGAATTTCTATACATACCAAGTTACCTCCTGTTTCAGCAGATAAGCGAACAGTTTCTCTCCTTTTTTGGAAATGTTTTTGTATTCTGAAGATGCCACTCCTACTTCCTTGAAAGCTCATTTGAAGTATAAATAAAGGATGCTCTGAAAGCCCTGGGCGGTTTCCCTGTGTCACATCTGTTGTGCACACTTGGTGCAGTGCAGATCGGACCGTGACCGCCCATGCGCATGTAAAAAATAGATATCTGAGTTGTGAGTTTCTTTATCTTCTAAACAATTTTCTCCTCACAGAGACATTATTTAGGAATGCATGGCTCGAGTTCCCTCACCTCTGTCTTCTCATTTGGAGTCATTTGGAGTGTCATGCAGAACATAGTAAAATGTTCTGAAGTGTCGATTAACGTCTAGAAATTGACCAACTGATTAACTCATGTGTCACATAATTACCCATTTGGAAGCAGCCACGCCAGCACTTAGCTTTACTGGTATCACCATAAATGCATCCCATATGGAAAACATATATATAAATCTCGTAAAGTTTGTATCTGTCTTGTGTGAAACTGTGAAAACTGCGAAAAGCATACAAGAGTGAAAACAGATGTAAGATCCCTTGAAAAATTATATAAATGAAACTTGCATGTTTTGGATACTTACTAAAACAATATATGAAAGTAATGAGAAAGTGGCCACTTTCATGAGTTAATCATATAAGCCTTATATGATTCACTATATGAAGTAGGCCACATCTTATGCAAGTCTTTAATAAGTTTTTACTATTTCTTTTCCATATGGGATATCTTGCTGGATGCTGGATAAAGGGGTCTTTAGTCATGCGAAAGTGGATATTTCCCTTTACTGTAGTGTGTCAAAGAGCTCTGTTTACACTTACACTTTTTCCTAGGAAAAAGTCTCATGTTATGCTTCTCATCAGACTCCTGATGACGCGGTGATCCTGGCAGATGTTCCTGTTTTAGTGGGAAGCAGATACAGTGACTGACTCCCCACCAATCAGGAAACAAGTGGAGGTTCCTACACAAAGATCCTTTCTTACTGAACCACAGCTCTCACACTTCCTGTGAGTGGGCGAGTTGTTGTGATGTACTCCTACTCCTCACTTGTCTCTCCTCCTGATGCATTTCCTTTCACTTTTTCTCACTTTTCTCACCCATAAACAGTCCAAATAAGACCAAACAGGCCCTCATGTCAGGTATCTGTTGTGCATCAGGTGTCTCGCTAACCTCGACTCCTTCCAACACCACTGTCTTCTTGCATGTGCTCAGTGTAATACAACAGCAAAAGCCAACATCGTGCTGCTGGTCAATGGCTCCTGGAGTGTTGGGCGCATCAGTGTGTTTGACATCAACCCTGACAGAGTCCAGATCGGTAAAGCTTTCACAGCTGTTACTATAACAACAAGAGTCACATGGAGACTTGGACAGCTGCTGATTTGGTCACAGCCATCTCTCAGTCCTATAGTTTCCAAATACAATGGTGTGAAAAGTGTTTGCTCCCTTCCTGATTTCCTATTCTATATATATATATACAGTATATATGTGTGTGTGTGTGTGTGTGTGTGTGTGTGTGTGTGTGTGTGTGTGTGGCAGTGGTTTTTATCTTGAAGCTCTGCCATGCAGGCCATTTTATGGCCATGTTATGGTGGAGTCATGAACACTGACTTTCACTAAGTGAGGCCTGTAGTTGTAATGAATGTGAACTCTTGTACTATCTTCATAAGGACCACGGCAGCCCTGCAAGATCACATGGCCGTGTCAAAAACTTAAAGTGTGAGAGCTGCAGTTCAGTAAGAAAGGATCTTTGTGTAGAAACCTCCACTTGTTCCCTTATTGGTGGGAATTCAGTCACTGTGTCTGATTCCCATTACAATTGGAATTTGTGCCAATGATCAGTGAATCATCCAAGTTTGATGGTAAGCAAAACATTAGACCTTTTCCTAGGAAAAACAGTTTTTTGTGACAACTGGCCAGTTTCTGTGAAAACATTTCACCTCTTAATCAAGAGTCTTCTCCAGTTCTGTCTGTTGTTCAAATTTCCTTCTTTTTCAGGATAAAGTGTTTGTTTTTGCACTGGGCAAACACTTTTTCACACCATTGTATTCCTTATTTATTTAGTCTGATCAGTAATTGAGAAACAAGCCAAGTCAGATCATTTGTATTTCTCATTTAAAAAGCAGATCAAAGTGCTACACAGCCATCATCTGAGACTCAACAAGCTGCTTCAATGCAACTTTTTCCAGTTCTGACAGATATTCTGGCTTAAGATATCTGCTGATACCGAGTACTGATCTCATATCAGTGTTAAATTAATAAGAGTGCGATTAATTCCTTAATGTGTGTGACAACATCAGGCTTGATTTAAACCTTGCTTTAAGGTTACATCCAATAATTTAAAATGATATTAGTAAGATAATAAATGACAATCAAGAATTTTTAAGCAAAAAGGAAGTTTGGAGATTGTCTTATAATTACCTAAGAGTTCTGGATCAAGTGATGACTGTTTAAGTAACGGTTTAACTACTGCTAGCTTGAAGGCCTGTGGTACATAGCCAATTATTAGAGAGAGGTTGATCATATTTAAGATTGAAAGATTAATTAGTGGTAGGACTTATTACTGTAAGAAGTTATTACTGAACTTAACGCAGATCAATTGGAGAAAAAGAGTAAAAAAAATGATAATGAAAGTAGCTGTACATAATGTTATGTCTGTGAGATGGTTATGAGTAATTTTTTTTCACGTGGTTAAAATTTGCACAAGTTAATCTCAGTACAAAGGAGAGCAAATGCATCCTTTTTCCTGCTTCTCATGTCTCTCCCCAGCTAAATGCAACACTGACAACAGTGACTGGAAACTGTTGGAAACTGGAGCTCAAAGAGCAGAAACGCTGGCTTGAGGGAGCCGAGGATCCATTAATAATTTGGTCAGAAACAAAAAACATAAACCTCGCTCAACTCAAAGCCACCAAATGACTGAACACTAGACACACCAGGTGGGCTTTCTTCTTCACCTGCTTTAACTTTGTGATCACTTACAGGTCTGGTTCCCAGAATGTAAAACCTGATGATCAGTTCTGCCAGTTTTTTCTGGAGAGGAGACGACAATCCTTCCTCCAGGTACAACTGTAGTGAACTAATTGTCCAATCATTGGTCTTGGGTTGACTCTGTTCAGATACTAGATGCCCCTGGTGATACAAAAATATATATACAGGAGAGGTATGCTGTACTACTGTTGCTGTCAATATTTGCCTGTTTATGTGTTTCTACTCTCATTATGACCTGAATCAGAGCACAAGAAATAAAAGCCTCCCAGTGGGATTCAGGTAAACCGATCCTGGTTCAATTCTTCAGGTGATATCGGATGATGATGATGATGAGAAGTAGGAGGTGGGTGTGGTTACTGTCTGCAGGTATGAAGGCAAAAACTGATATTACCTGCTTTCAGTACTGAGAGAAGCTCTCTGGAGTGAATTTCATTGATACAAATGGAGCGTCTCCAGGTGTGGGGCATTTTCAGCCTCATCGTTCTCACCGCCGCCCAGAAAACCACAAACGGGTAAGCACACAGGCTGAACTACAGGACTCACCTGGACAGTTTAAACTGCTTCTTCATGAGTGTTTTTCCTCTTCTGCTCATCTGTGTATCTACAGTTTTTAAATATATTTTCCTACATTTTAGAAAATAAAAAGTCAGTTCAAAACTGCAGGAGTGGTGTTAAAAATTCATTGAATCTAAGCTGATTTTTCATTATTTTTACAAACATGTTTTATTGCCTTACAGTCATTTTTGCACAAGTTGATTAAAAGATATAGATTTAAACTAATGTAAGTACATATTTTTATAATAAATTAGTTCCAATAAAATAATAAATGTTCACAGTGGGGAAGGTTTCTGTTTCCATTCGCCCTTTCAGGTTTTCTACACCAACTTGTTATTCTTAATGATGGTTTTTTTGGGTGTAAACAAATATATTTATATATTATGGGTTTTTTCCTCAGCCCCCACCCTCAGCCCTCCTACCTGCTCCTTGCTCCCAAAGCCCTCCAACATGGAATCCCAACATCTATATCAGTCACCATCCTGATCCCTTCACCGGTCACTGTATCTGCTCACATTGTTCGTGGAAACCTAACAATGGCCTCACAATCTGTTAAAGTTGAAGGGGGTAAGTATCTGCCACTAACAATTAATTTACAATTAATTAATTATAGCTCTAATCTCACTGTGAAATTCTCTTTCTAAAGGTTCAACCACACTGCTGACTTTGCCGCCTGTAAGTAAGAAATTCCTCTGTAACAAATACAAAGGTCAGTCTTTGTAAAGTCAGTCTGAGCTTTCTACAATTCAAGTCAGTTTTATTTTTTGTTTGCACTTACTGTACTTGTTTACTATGTCCCACTATGCTAATAAGTGCCTTATTTCTTTTTAAATATGACACACAATCATTAGAAAATAAACAATAACACTTTGGACTACTTTTTGAAAACAGGATATTTTACAGTTCAGCTTTAAAATCATAGCTGAAATTGTGGGTTTTGATGCCCCCTTGTGGCCCCTAAAAGCAGCTTCCTGGTAAAAGTTCAGAGCCCAGAACAAAGGCCAGTTTTCTGTTCTGAGAGCAGGTCGGCGAGGAGAGGCTTAACTCTGATTCTGTAGAGCACAAACAGACACCATCAGGTAAAATTCAAATGGATGTTGAGCAGATTTTGGCTAATTCTCTCATCTGGACCACAGGCGAGCTCTCAGTCCTCCACGGTTCAGATTACACCCGAGAAACTTTAAACTTTAAACTTGGAGCGTTTTCAAAACCTGCTCTTTCTGTATGCCAGATTAAATTTGTTAAGATGATAATGTGACTGTTTGTCATTTAAGTGTTGATGAATTTCCTTCCATGTTGAATTCTTGCAGATTAGTGACAGCGAGCCCAATCACTGGGAGGCCTACATACTGGAGGTCAAAGGTCACAGAGGAGAAGTCCAGGTTTTCTCCAGCTTCACAAAGCTCCACTTGGATGTTGAAGATATCGCCACCTTCATTCAAACAGACAAAGTAATGTACTTACCTGGGCAGGCGGTGAAGATCAGAGTTGTTTCCATTCACTCTGATGGGAAGCCCTTCATCAGCCCCGTGGACATCATCATCAGGGTAAGAATGATGTTATTGTACCAAAACCATGGAAGAAAGAGAGGACAAGAGGGCAAGATCAGAGACTATTTTTAAAAGATCTCAGGGGAGTTTTACTTGGACAACTTCTGCGTCTGGTTGATTGGATTATGAGTTAATTCTATTACACATGCTTCATATTCATATCAGCATCATTTTAATTAATGAATTTCCAGCCATGAACTTTGCACTAGCATTCACTAGCATTCGTCAGCACTGGTGGCTAAATCAGTCACTTGCCTGTAAACTTGCTGGACGTTTTTCAAAGCACAAACTGAAATTCTGAAAATCGTCTGATCAGCATGTTTTTTCTTGGTCCAGGATCCGAGGGGAAACCTGCTCAGGCAGTGGCTGGCTGCAGACAGCGTCCTTGGCGTTGTGTCCAAAGAGTTTCAGCTGTCTGAAAACCCTCCTCTGGGTCAGTGGACCATCATCGCTACAGTCAAAGTAAGTCCTTTAGCAGGTGAACCTCTGCAGGGTAATTAAGCTGGACAGGCCTCTGATAATTCAATCTAATCCACCTGACCACTGATTGCTTCTGCCAAAGTCAGATCTTTTGTGCAAAGACATTCATGCGGTCAGTGGCACTAATCTGTTTGACAGGAAACCTATAATTAATGCACAGTATGAAAAATGTCTCACCTCCACATCTCCAGGTTTGCATTAAAATATAAGGCTGATTCCCTAACAAGATATATTAAGACATTTAAAAACATATGGAATCATTTCCTTTAACTTATTCATCTTTGCTTCAAAGAGTATGTCAGTGTTGCTCGTACCTGATTTACTCGTAGTTTTGATTTATACTAACCTTCTCATCACTGGTGACCCTAACCCTTTGTTTTGGAGACAAGCAAAAGTACAAAATCTAAATATTTTTTGGTTCTTGGATATTTTTATTTGATATTTGTGCGTGATTTCTGGTCAGAGAAATCACTGCTGCGTTTTTTAAATGTATTTGATCTTGCGTGATTAAAGACGAGAGTAATCGGACCTCTCTGCAGTGGATAACTCTGTAACAGGGCAGATTCCATCGGAACAATTGAATGGATAAATAGCAGCACAGGCAAGAGTCCCTTTCATAAAAAAAACTCTTAAGTTTCAGTAACTCACAACTCGTGCTGTGAATGTGAAGGGGACTTCTGTGGCTGTAACATTTATACACACCAGTTAAAGTCAGACTGAGTGAAAGAATGAAGGAATAGATTTTCCTTATAAAAAGAACAAAGAGAGATGATGTTATAAAGATCCTCTGTGTGTTGCAGGACATTTCAAGTGTGAAGTACTTCACTGTGGCTCAATATGGTATGGATGTTTTCTCTATCCAGCATTACATGAACAGCTTCCTCCTTTTGAAGAATAAAAACACATATTAATTTTGTGTGTGTGAGTGTGTATTCATATCTTTGTGGGGACCAAAATAGGAAGTTTACTATACTTGTGGGGACCAACAGTCCTTATGGGGACCAAACTCCTGGTCCCCACAAGTTTGAAGGCATTTTTGAGACTCAAAATGTGGTTTTAGTAACAGGGTTACAATTGGGTTAGGGTTAGGCATTCGTATTTCATTAGGGTAAGCAGCTCGGGAAAGCATTATGTCAATTAGATGTCCCCACAAGATATGAATATCCAACATGTGTGTGTATCTTTTGGTTGCAGTGCTGCCAAAGTTTGAGGTTTTGATCGATGCTCCGGATGTCATTTACCGTGAGGACCCTCTGGAGGGCTCCATCACAGCAAAGTGAGACTTGGCTTTGATCCAGTTTGTGTGTGAATGAAGTTGCTCCTCAGGATTATTTATGATCTTTCCATCCACAGGTACACTTACGGGAAGTCCGTTCAGGGACACCTGAATATGACGTTCATTTATCACGTTCACGGTACTGTCGAGTTTTACTATGAGGACAGAGAGGTTCGTATGTCAGTGGAATCATTGTGTAATTATTCCTTTAATATTCAGCTGTACAGTTATCATTATAGGCTCTCCCACTATCTGAACTTGTTTATTTTCTTTATTTAAACTATTAAAATAAAATTACAGACTGAAAGCATTTTTAATTACATTTTTTCTAAATATTAAGTTTTCTACACAGTGAAAAATATCTCTAAATGTAGTATAAACATACATTTATACTGTCTCGTAAACTAATAATGCAACATGCATGATATATGTAATATATCACGCTTAAGATTACTAATTACCTTCTCTTTATATTGATTAAATCATTTTTGACTGAAGAACTCCTGTCCTGATTACAACATTTGAGAATATACAGTTTATTTAAACTTAACCATCATAGATTTAACACATTAACAGTGTTCCTTTTCATCAGATTGATGGTACTGAAAGCTTCACATTTGATGCTCCTGATTATTTCCAAATGAGAAATGATTCCAAAATGATGTACTACGAGGGAAACGCTGAGGACGTAACAGTTGTGGCTCATGTGACTGAATACCTCACAGGTAATTCAGATTTTATTTATAAATGTTAACTTGAAATACCAAAAGATTGGTTGTACAGATCAGAAGTGACAATTTACAGCTTATTTCTTTACTTTTTGTTATGTTATGTATGCATGTATTTCATATATTGTTTTAAGTAGTTCTAACTTCTGAGTTTCAGCATTTCCAGGTGTAGAGTTTTATTCGAGGCAGTGTCCAAGCTCATATTTTTGTGAAATTAGTGTGTATTACAATATTTACATTATTTACATACAATTAAAACATCATTTTCTCCCCCAAATTGTGCACAGAATATCCCGTAATGATAAAGTGAAAACATTTGCTTGAAAATTCTGCAAAGTTTTTTTATTCTTTATTAAAAATAAAGACAAAAATATGACATGTACATAAGTATTCATAGCCTTTGCTTAATACTTTGTTGAAGTGCATTGAGTCTTTTTGGCTATGGTGCCACATGCTTGGCTCACCTATTTCTGGGCAGTTTCTCCCATTCTTCTTTACAGAACCTCACAAGCACCATTAGGTTGGATGGGGGGAGTCGGTGTGCTCATTCGGACCTTCAATACTTTTTTTCCGTACCCTACCCCAGATTGTGCCTCTTTACAATTTTAGAGGTCTACAGACAATCTCTAGGACTTCGTGGCTTGGTTGGCCTGACATGCACACACAGCTATGTGATGCATAGTGTTAATGGGACCATTGCACGTTTTGAATATCACGACATACGATAAATTTGCCAGAATTTTAAGCAAACTTCTTTCACTTTGTCATTATGTGGTGTTGTGTGTACCTCATAATGACAAGGTGAAAAATGAATTTAATCTATTTTATGATAATAAGGCTATAACATGACAAAATGGGAAACAAGTGAAGCGCTGTGAGTATTTTTTTTCCCAGATGCATTGCATTTGCTCTCTACTGTGGGACTTTAAACTGCTATAGTTTTTTTTAATTACAAAGTCAGGGAGATAGTCTACATTATTTTTTGGAATCTAACCAGCTTTTGTTCTTGTTTGTGGTGCTGACTCCTGTGACTACGTCTCATTTTTCAGGCATTACATATAACAGTACGGCAACAGTAGGTTTGTCAAAAACCAGATATAAAGTCTCCTTTGAAGAATATCACAAATTATTGAGGCCCTCTTTAACCTTCAGCGCCAGGGTAAGAAGGCAGCATTTAAGTGAAATGCAGAGTCTGAGCTGTACAGATAACAGATATTCCAGTGTTAATGTAAAACAATTATGCTAATTTTTTTTTCTAATTTTGTAGCTGAAAATATCTACATACAACAATCAGCCACTGTCACTGGAGGATCGCCAAAGCTTTGTTGAAGTTTCAGTGATTCAGCAAAAGCAAAGATTTTGGGGTTGGATCGGAGACATGGTGATAGACACGGAGCCTAAAACATCGAACAGTTCAGGAACTTCAGAAAGTCCAAAGGAGATGCTACCTAAAGAAATGAAGTTTCCTGTCCCTGCAGATGGACTCATACCTTTCAGCGTTGAAATCACGAGTGAAACAGACATGCTCAGTATTGATGTAAGTTATACAATAATACCCTCATTGACTAAATATTATAAGACAGATTATTTCAAAATTTGACTTTAAAATGTCTGGATGTGGGATTAAGTAACAAGGCCTTTAGTTCTGTTAAGAAATCTTGAAAATTATTATTGTTTTACTTTATCTGTTTAGCCTTTGCTTTCAGACACAGCTTATTTCTTAATTTAGGATCCAATTTTGGAAAAAAAAATTACAGAATTAGTACTTTCAATTAACTTTTAATTTTATATTTAAATTTTAATTAACAAATGAGTCACTGCACAGCTAAACATATGATTTCAAATGTACTGGTCAACATTAAATTGAACAAATATACTCTGTAGATAGATCATTGACATCTGCTGATATTTTTTCAATATTATGTATTTATATCGAAAGAAATGGCAAAATGCATTAAAGTCTTAGGACATATTGCACTACGCTGAAATATAAATTGGTGTCTCATCTGCATAGAAGAGGGACAAAATTATGTGTTTACCAATTCAGGGGCCAACTGAAAGCTAATTTAATTTCAATTCTAAGTTTAATTTAGAAAATAGGCTAAGTATAACTTGTGAAAAATTTGGAATATATGTCTTTATTATATCAGGGTGTTATGATAATTCTGAATATCAACTGAATTATGTGATTTTTAAAGATTTATTTTGCATTAACTATATTCATAACACAAAACAAAATTTTAAAGGTAACTGTATAATGAAAAATGATTTTATCATATATCTAACAAGAAAAAGCACAACATGTTTGTTTAATATTGTTTATCTTGTGTGGGTTTTTTTTGTGATATTATCATTTATTTGCTTAAATGTATTTTTATTTAGCAGCAGGATTTTACAACTCACATATTGTACCTAAAAAGCTAAAGGCTTATTTTATTCTGTAGTTGCTAGGTGGAGAGTGCTAATAGCTACAGGCAAGAATAAAGTAATCTACTGTGAAAAATCCACACCTGACAAGAAAATCACGTACAAAAGAAATTACACTTGAATAGATAAATAAATTAATATGAAAAATATTTACGTGTTAACTAAAACAGAAATTAAACCCAAAAGCATGATCATGATTTCAAATTACATTTAAAATCTTTGGTATCTCTTTTTCTTCTCAGGCTTCTTTTGAGGACAGCCATAGCAATCTATATATACAGCGAAGCTACACATCCCCCAGTGAGAGCTACCTGCAGATTCAGAAACCCTTCACACCTCCAGAGGTAAAGCTGAAGAATACAAGGGACTATTTAAAATTACCTTTGTGTCAGCATTGTAAACATGCAGGTAATATGCCAAAATAGTCTATGGTTACCTTAGATGTCCTTTCAACACACCTCAATCACATGCACTGAGTTCATTATAACAATTTGTTTCATTTACATTTGCTTAGTAATTATAAACATTCAGTTTTTATGTCCTGCCTATGATTCAAATTAAAGTTAACTTAGTTAATAATAATAATAATGGATTGCATTTTATATAGCGCTTTTCGGGGCCCTCAAAGCGCTGTACAATGCTTCCAAGTGACTGCTTGTGTGAAGATGGTGAGGCTTCTAGAATGACTCGTCCAGTGTAGATCTTCAAAAAACAGATTTACAGCCAATTACTGACTGTGGTTGTAGAACATTTATACTCATACGTAACGTCACCATTTGACCTTCTTTCAGGTTGGTTCGCCCTTTCTGCTGCACATTGAAAGTAATTTTCCATTGAATGAGGTTCACTACCTGGTATGAAAAAAAGCATCAAATATTATTACACTTTGTCAAATTTGTAGTTAATTTGATTAATATTTAAATAAAGCACATTTCCAACTGTTGAAAGTTGTTTGTTTTCCAGTAGTGGTGACAAGAAGTTTTAAGTATTCAGTTTATTGCTGTAAGCAAAGAAAGACGAATGTATGCTTCCAGCTTCTTATAAGACCTTCCGTCTGTATCTTGTGTGTAAAGGTGAAGTCAAGAGGACAGGCGATTTCTGCCGGGAAAGGCTCTCCTGATCTGACTCTGGTCCCAGAAGTCTCCTGGGCTCCTCTGGCCTGCATCATCGTTTACTGTGTGCACCCCAGCGGAGAGGTCATCAATGATGCAATCCAGCTGCCAATCAGGCAGTTTTTACAAAACCAGGTGATTTTTTCATTCTTCATTTTTTTCTTTGAAAAATAAACTAATTTGTCTCTTGAATTGTGTGAATATGAGGTTATGAAGTTGGAAAAAACGGTGAAGAAAAAACAATCCAAGTTACATGATAATAATTTCCCAGCAAACATTTCAGCAGTGACTAACCGTCATCTTTTCTCAATGTCTAGTCTTAGTAAAAAAAAAAAGAAGAAAAAGAAAAGAATAGTTGAATGAAAGTTGTGTCAGTGTTGGAGAAATACGTTTGCCCTCTGCCTGGTGTCCTTCTTTGACTATCTAGCAATTAGAAAAACAAGCAAAATATTGTATTTTGTGAAAAAGCCTAAAAGCTCATGAAAAGACAACAACCTGCAAAGGTAACATGAACTGGTGTCTTCTTGCTCTGGAGTCCATTTCTTATCCCAATGAGGTTTATATCTTCTGCTGCCCTGTGCCATAATGCTAGTGTGTGTCTCTGAACATCCTGTGACTATCTGTTCACAACCAGGAATAATATTTCTTTATTATATTATTGTGAATATATTTCTTATGTTAAAAGATGGTCTGACTGGAACTTTATACGTAACTCCTAAATATCCTAACTGACTTATTCCCTGACTTTATTAAAGTTCTAAATAATTATTATTATAATTATTTTTCTTAAACTGGTCTTGCTTTTAGCTTTTCAGGCTGACTTTGTCTAATTAGTAGGCAGGACGTTTGCGCCTAAGATGACCACATTTGGCACATTATTTTTCACTGATTTCATACACATCAAAGAGTTGAAAAAAAAAAAGCAAACAAAAAACAAACCTCAGAATTTTGAAATCTCACATTTTTGCTCACAGAGATGACTTATTTTTACATTATGGTTTAAAATTTTTGTGCATGTTTAATATGAACATCCACCATTAGAGCAGGACATATATAACAGGAAATAACGAGTAAAATGGTACTTTTGCAAATTTGTGACTAATCAACCTGTGATTGGCAGGTGTCGCTTAGTTGGAGCAGTGTTGTAAAGAGGCCAGCTGAGACTGTGACCCTGAATGTGAGTGTACTGGAGCCCAACTCAGTAGTCGGGATCCTGGTGGTTGACAAGGCGACGCAGTGGGCGGGATCAGACAATGACATCACCACGGAGACGGTATGTAAAATGTTAAGATAAGAACTGTATGTATACATTCATGTGAAAATAAAAGTTTTGACAGTAAAACTACGTTTCTTTTTCTAACTTCGCTCGGTGTTTCACTATGGGAATCGCCTCGGCGTGACCAACTACGGAAGCTCCAATGACACCACGTCTGTCTATGACAGACCTGTCGAGCCGTGCTCAGGGCTCCGCCCCCTCGTACTAACACGGCCGACCAGCTCCTCCTAACTCATTCTCGCTTTCTTCCCGTGAGAAACTACTTTGAGCTCCCTCAGCGCATCCAGGCTAACTTGATTAGCTGCTTAACAGTTCTCAGGCGTCCCGTGTAGGAGTACGTCGCCAAACGCAGTTTTTCCGGTTCCAGTTTGGATCGTGCTGAGTAAGTCCTTCGAAAGAAGTGTACTTAGAGTTGCACTGTGGCGTGCTGTTCATTCAGTGTCCGGCTAGCATTAACTTGTTAGCAGGCCACGAACCACATTAGCGTCTCACTAGCATTAGCTTGTTGGTCGACCTAGGGTTCGGTTAGCATTAAGTTGCTAACGATATTGGCTAGCGGAGTGCAGCTAACGTGTCACGACGAGCTGACTCCCGCCACGACTAGATCGGATTTAACACCCGCTGCTAGTCCTAGCTACTTACGGGCTAACGTGTCGAGACGAGCCTGGTGTAGCCTAGTCTCACCCCTTTCCGCTAACCATGTCTACAGCTCCTACTCCCGCCAAAAGGTCGGAGCCGAAGGCTAAAGAGGCTGCATCCCGCCCGTGCCCCGCATCATGCGGTGCCACCATCTCGGGCAGGGACCCTCATCCAATGTGCATCGTCTGTATGGGTGCCAAGCATGCTCGGGCTTCACTGGCGGACCCTCAGGGATGCCCACACTGTGCTTTGATGCCAGAGAAAGTCCTGGAAAGGAGGCTGAGAGTAGCAGTAACGAACAGTCAGGACCCCTGCCTGTCGGCTGCTACTGCTACGAGCGATATCCGTCATCCGCGAGCCTCCACAAGCTGGGCGGACATGATGGAAGAAGAGTCCCCGCTCATGCCCCCATCGTTCGAGGACCTCCTCGATCAAAACGTGGGCGAGCCGGGTGGCGAGGACGCGGAGGGCGATGCCGACTCCGACCTCCTCGACCTGGAGGACATGGATGAGGAACAGGAGGATGACTCTACCTTTCCTCCCCAGCAGTCCAGGCCACCGAGTGGGGCTGAAGTTGCACCCCTGGTGGACAGCAATTTGTACGAGGTCTGCAAACGGGTTGCTGCCAAGCTAGGCATCCCATGGCCAGCCGCCCAGGATGCCGAAGGGGCAGAACGCGACCTGTATGACGGCAAGAGGCTCCCACCAGCCTTGCCGCCATCAAAGCAGCTTCTGCCAGCAGTCCCAGCCTGCATGAAAGAAATGAGTCGCTATTGGTCAAGCCCTTTTAAAAGCAAGCTTCCGACCAAGGGCTGCTCTAAGCTTGAGATCCAGGGGATGGGTGAACTGGGGCTGACCGAACCCCCAGCAGTGGAGCCTTCAGTGGCGTATCACCTTCACCCTAACCGCAGGGCAATCTCAGCTTCTTCTAGCATTTCTTTGCCCAACAAGATAGATCACCTCACGGCATCTATTTATCAAAGGATGTACAAATATGCTGCACAGTCAGTATGCTCACTTAATGCAGTCACACTGCTATCAGGCAGAAATTCTGGAAGACATCTGCCGTCAGCTTGACGCGGGTTCCCTGAACCCAGCCCTCTGGGATGAAATCTGCGTGGTTAATGATCTCATTCTTCGCTCCTCCAGGGGAGCAGTCCAAGGGTGGGGTCGCGTTATGGGCCTTGCAGTCTCGGGTGAGAGAGCCTTGTGGCTAAACCTGTCAAGCCTAGGTGATGCTCAGAAGGCTGAGGTCATGGATGCAGCCTATGACCCAACCAAGGGTCTCTTTGGCCCAGCCCTGGAGAGAATGAGAGAAACAAGCACCCGCAGAAAGCAGGAGGGTGAAGCATTAAATCTCTGCTTACCCAGAAAACCTAACTGTCAGCCCCAGCAGGTGCCAAGAGCTGGCTTTGCAGCAACAGCAGCAGCTGCGAGAGGGAGACAGAGTGGGGTCAGAATGCAGAGAGGAGCAGGAGGCCAGCAGGGTGCCCACCAGGCCAAGGTAGAGAACCGAAGACCTTGGGGCAAGCATTCCTTTGCAGCAGTTGCTGCAAAGAACAAGCCGTTACACCCGGTCAGCCTAGCACACCTGCAGCATTCTGTGTCACCCCTCTTTTCTTCCCCAAATAGAAGGAAGGTGTTAGAAGGGGTAACCAAATCACTCCAAAGTTCAGGGTCTCCGGAAGTTTCCAGTTCACCAGGAGCACCCTCTCAGTCTCCTCCTCCAGTTCAGGGAGGACAGACTTGTGGACAAATGGCGCAGTGTCACCAAACACTTCTAAGCACTCTGTCTGTGTCACCAAGCACTGCCCAGAGTCATCAGACACTTCACTGTGGTTTGGGGGTAACAAAAGAAATAAAACGTGCATTTCTGCAGCCAGGCAGTTTGCCAAGGGCAGAATGTCCCCCCCAGTTTCAAAATAAAAACAAAAGAAAATCACTGCAATTTGTCTTTGTTCCCAGCGGGGTGAGCTCACGCTCTTCCCGAGGGGGAGAGCCCCAACTCCTTCCGGGAGACAGGGGTGACGTCACTCTACCGCTTCTTCAGAGGCCCGCTTGCAGCGCGGCTGGAGCAGTGGCGCGCATGCGCAGTTCATCCCTGGGTCTTGTCAACCATTTCCCATGGTTACAGACTACAGTTTGCGGCAAAACCACCGAGATTCGGCGGAGTGTTAGCTTCTGTGGCCAGTCGCGATTCAGCGAATGTGCTGGAGGAGGAAATATCCTCCCTGTTACACAAACAGGCGATCGGAGCGGTTCCGAGCGAAGAAGCTCAGCAGGGCTTTTACTCCCGCTATTTCCTCATCCCGAAAAAGGACGGAACGTCGCTCCGTCCTATTCTGGATCTGCGTGTGTTAAACAAGCATTTGAGAAAGTACACGTTCAGAATGCTCACACACAAGACGCTTTGTCGCTCAATTCACACAGGCGATTGGTTTGTTACAATCGACCTATCAGACGCATATTTTCACATCGCCATTTATCCTCCACACAGGAAATATCTCAGGTTCGCTTATCAGAGCGTAGCGTACGAGTTTCAAACTATCCCATTCGGGCTATCCTTAGCTCCGAGGGTGTTTAGCAAACGTGTGGAGGCAGCGCTGTCTCCGTTAAGGAACAGCGGCATCAGAATATTCTCTTACATAGACGATTATCTAATATGCTCACGATCGCGCGAGCAGGCGATCAAAGACTCCGAGGTGGTGGTGAATCACCTCACGGAGCTTGGGTTCACTATCAACCTGGAAAAGAGCCACTTGAAACCCGCACAGTTTACAGAGTATCTGGGGCTCAGAATAGACTCCATCTCTTATCGTATCGCACTTTCAGAGCGGAGGATCGCATCCTTCACTCACTGTCTTTCCCGTTTTCAGCTGGGGAAAGTCGTGCGGTTCCGACTCTGTCTCCGCCTCCTCGGCCTCATGGCTTCGGTGATATCGGTGGTACACTTGGGGCTGCTTATGATGAGAGATTTTCAGCGGTGGGTCGCTTCTCTGCAGCTGTGCCCTCGCCGACATCTCAGTCGTGGTGTAAAAATAACGCAGCCATGTATCGCGGCTCTCCGGCCCTGGAGGAGCCCGACAGCTCTCGCGGCGGGGGTACCGCTCGGGGCAGTATCATCCAGGGTGACGCTGACCACAGATGCATCCCTGTCAGGTTGGGGTGCAACTATGATGGGCAGAGCAGTGAATGGCGTTTGGTCACAGAGACTCACTCTGAATCACATAAATGTGCTGGAGCTCCGCGCGGTGCTCCTAGCCTTACGGCATTTTCTGCCGTATCTCCGGGGTCAACATGTTTTAGTGAAAACAGACAACTCCACTGTAGTTGCTTATATCAACCGCCAGGGCGGCACCCGTTCCCGGCAGCTACACAGGTTAGCCAGGGAAATAATTATGTGGAGCAGCACTCGGCTCCTCTCCCTTTGGGCAACTCACGTGCCAGGAATTCTGAACAGGGGGGCGGACCTCCTGTCCAGAGGAAATCCACTGTTCGGAGAATGGAGGCTTCACCCACAGGTGGTGGAGCAGATTTGGCAGAGATACGGCCGGGCTGCCGTAGATCTCTTCGCCTCGCGAGAAAACACACAGTGCCCCCTGTTTTTCTCCCTGTCAGACGCACACGCGCCACTGGGCGTGGATGCGCTGGCCCATCCATGGCCAAAAACTCTGCTGTATGCTTTCCCTCCCCTCAACCTGATCTCCCCAACACTGATCAGAGTGAGGGATCAGGGGCTGTCTCTGATTTTAATAGCTCCACGGTGGCCATCCAAACACTGGATAGCAGAAATCATCCAGCTTCTGGTGGACGAGCCATGGCCACTCCCCATCTGCAGGGACCTTCTGTCTCAGGCGCGGGGGGAGATATACCATCCCCATTCAGACCAGGTTGCTCTCTGGGCCTGGCCCGTGAAAGGTGGAATTTGAAGGCAGCAGGCATGCCTCCGAAGGTTATTGAAACCATTCAGAATGCCAGAGCCTCCTCCACTCGTTCCATTTACAGCAGTAAATGGCGTGTTTTTGAAGAGTGGTGCCATGAAAAGCAGATTATCCCTTTTCAGTGTTCAGTGGTGGAGCTGTTGTGTTTTCTTCAAGACTTGCTGGACAAAAGGAAAGCTTTTTCCACTATAAAGGTCTATTTAGCAGCTATTTCAGCCTGCCACGTGGGGTTTGGTGATAAACCTGCTGGGCAGCACCCCCTTGTAGGTCGCTTCATGAGAGGGGCGCGTCGAACGCTCCCAGTTTCTAGACCACTGGTCCCTTTATGGGATCTGTCAGTCGTTTTACACGCCCTCTCCCACCACCCCTTTGAGCCTATTGGGGCAGTGGGGTTGAAGTTTCTCTCTCTTAAAACCACTCTGCTGTTGGCTCTAACCACAGCCAAGCAAGTTAGTGAATTACAGGCTCTGTCTATTCACCCCTCTTGTCTACAGCTGGACTCACTAAAGCACTCCTGAGGCCTAACCCAGCCTTTGTCCCTAAAGTGTTGGAAACATCATACAGGTGCTCTACAGTAGAGCTCCTAGCTTTTCACCCCCCTCCATTCTCTTCCGAGAGGGAGCAGAGGCTGAACACTTTGTGCCCTGTCCGGGCCTTGGGGACTTATGTTGACAGAACAGCTGGATTCAGGAAGTCGGATCAGCTGTTTGTTTCCTGGGCCTCCCCTCACAAGGGCAGGCCCGTATCACGCCAGAGACTAGCTCATTGGATTGTAGAGGCCTTGGCTCTGGCTTATAGCTGTAAGGGCTTGCAGGCCCCCCCGGGACTCCGAGCACACTCCACTAGGGGTGTGGCCACATCCTGGGCGTTGTTCAGAGGTGTATCAGTCCAGGATATTTGTGCGGCAGCAAGCTGGGCTACGCCGCACACGTTTGTCCGGTTTTATCGGCTGGATGTTGCACAGTCATCCCTGGCTCAGACGGTGCTGGATTCTGGTGCCTCAGGTTTGACCTGAGATCCTGGAGTAGCACTGGAGAGTAGCTTCGGGAGCTGGCGCAATCCGGGAGTGGGCCATATCTCCCATAGTGAAACACCGAGCGAAATTAGAAAAAGAACGTTGGGTTACTTAACGTAATCCCTGGTTCTTTGATAACAGAGTGAGGTGTTTCACCAACACTTCCCTCCTTGCTTAGGCACGGAAAGAAATCTGCTTGGAATGAGTTAGGAGGAGCTGGTCGGCCGTGTTAGTATGAGGGGGCGGAGCCCTGAGCATGGCTCGACAGGTCTGTCATAGACAGACGTGGTGTCATTGGAGCTTCCGTAGTTGGTCACGAGGCGATTCCCATAGTGAAACACCTCACTCTGTTATCAAAGAACCAGGGATTACGTTATCTCACGATTAAATTGCTTGATTCGGTTCTACTTTACAATTTTGCCTCATTTAATCATAATTTTGCAGGTATGCATTTATGCACAGCTCTCTTAATGTCCCAACACAGCATTTCAATTAGGTTGAGGTCTGGATGCTAATTGGCCCATTGCAACACTTTGATTCTTTTCTTTTTCAGTCATTCTGTTGTTGCTGCTTTGCTTGGGACCATTCTCCTGTTTGTTTTTGTGCCAAACTTTAGCTGTCAGACTGATGGCCTGAAATTTGACTCTAGAATTGGTTAGCATACAGAGAAGTTCAGGTCACAAGCGCCTGGTCCTGTGATTACAAAACAAGTCCAAACCATTAACCCTCCACCACTGTGCTGACAGTTTTTATGAGTTGTTTGTGCTTATATTCTGCGTTTGGTTTTCCCCAAATGTGCTTTGTATTTTGACCAAAAAATCTCCACTTGGGTCTCATCTATCCAAAGGACATTGAAGTCTTGTGGTTTGTTCAGATGCACCTTTGCAAACCTAAGCTGTACTGGCATTTTCTATTTAAAGAGAAAACGATTTATCCTGGCAGCTCTTCCAAACAGCCCATTCAGTGGCTTGAAAAGTATTCGGCCCCCTTGAACCTTCCCACCTTTTGTCACATTACAGCCACAAACATGAATCAATTTTATTGGAATTCCACGTGAAAGACCAATACAAAGTGGTGTACACGTGAGAAGTGGAACGAAAATCATACATGATTCCAAACATTTTTTACAAATAAATAACTGCAAAGTGGGGCGTGTGTAATTATTCAGCCCCCTTTGGTCTGAGTGCAGTCACTTGCACATAGACATTGCCTGATGAGTGGTAATGACTAAATAGAGTGCACCTGTGTGTAATCTAATGTCAGTACATACAGCTGCTCTGTGACGGCCTCAGAGGTTGTCTAAGAGAATATTGGGAGCAACAACACCATGAAGTCCAAAGAACACACCAGACCGGTCAGGGATAAAGTTATTGAGAAATTTAAAGCAGACTTAGGTCTGCAAAAAGATTTCCCAAGCCTTGAACATCCCATGGAGCACTGTCCAAGCAATCATTCAGAAATGGAAGGAGTATGGCACAACTGTAAACCTACCAAGACAAGGCCGTCCACCTAAACTCACAGGCCGAACAAGGAGAGCGCTGATCAGAAATGCAGCCAAGAGGTGACTCTGGACGAGCTGCAGAGATCTACAGCTCAGGTGGGGGAATCTGTCCATACGCAAAGTTGGCCTTTATGGAAGAGTGGCAAGAAGAAAGCCATTGTTAACAGAAAACCATAAGAAGTCCCGTTTGCAGTTTGCCACAAGCCATGTGGGGGACACAGCAAACATGTGGAAGAAGGTGCTCTGGTCAGATGAGACCAAAATGGAACTTTTTGGCCAAAACGCTATGTGTGGTGGAAAATTAACACTGTGCATCACTCTGAACACACCATACCCACTGTGAAACATGGTGGTGGCAACATCATGCTGTGGGGCTGTTTTTCTTCAGCAGGGACAGGGAAGCTGGTCAGAGATGATGGGAAGATGGATGGAGCTAAATACAGGGCAATCTTGGAACAAAACCTGTTGAAGTCTGCAAAAGACTTGAGACTGGGGCAGAGGTTCACCTTCCAGCAGGACAACGACCCTAAACATAAAGCCAGGGCAACAATGGATGGTTTAAAAAAAAATGGCCCAGTCAAAGTCTAGATCTAAATCTAGACTTTGACTGTGCAAAGCACTGTATTTTTCTAAGTGCGCTGTCATTAACTTTTGCATTTAACTTGCTAATCGATGCTTGCAGAGTCTCAGATGTAGCTCTTGGATATCTTGCAGTTTCTCTGAGCATTGCACAGTCTGACCTTGGAAGGAATTTACTGGGTTGTGTACTCCTGGGATAACTTTGGCATTGTGTTAACACATACCCAGCACGCTGCTAAAATGTCTTCTTTTACAGAGGTGCTCACAACTGATGACTGATGAACTGATGGCAACTCATTGACTTTTGATAATCAGCACGTTGGCTGTTCCTTATCCTCCTAATTCGTATGGAGGCAATCAGGGTTTACTGAGTATTGTTCAGAAGACTGCATTGAATCCTATGAAAAATGTTTTTAAAGTGAATAGGTTAAGAGATATGTGAAGAAGATGAGATGTTTTCCTCGTACATGATAGGATAGTTTGTATAAATGTAATTCAGCTTCTCAAACTAAAACAATTATTGGTTTCTTAAAATGTTAATAATTAAATATCAGCATGTGAGGCAGCTTGCTTACTTCAATCTGATCCTTAATTTGAGAGATCAAACTTGGAGCCTTGACTCATCTGTTTTTCATTCGTACTGACTGTTGTTGATCACATAACATGCTTTATTGTTTACAACAGTGTAACCTGTGAATACTAGAAGCTTCCATATCTCCTTGGGGTCCTCTGTAGTTTATTGTTTTCCAGCTAAATGTTCTCTGCCTTTTATAATCATATGCTTCCTGGTATATGATCCCTTTCATGTTCACCTGGGAAAACAAACCTGCCTCCCCACCCAAGTATCAGTTTAACAAGGCTGAACTTTTTTATTAGACATGTTTCTGTCCCCAGTTTCCTTTGTTCGGTTTTATGGGGTGTAACAGTAGCAGCTCTTATATTGCTGGTGATATTTTCAGGTGATGAAGCAGATGAAGGAGTTTGGCAATTCCATGGCTGACGGCAACAATGAAACGCCAAAAATGGGGGATCCACACTCTGTTTTCAAGGTTAGCCTCCACAGAGAGACATCGCTTCTGTTTATTTAGTGACTCTGCTCATTTTCAGCTATTCTTTGACTCAAGAAGCATTGTTTGAATCACAAAATAATCCTTACTTATCTTATAACAGGCTCTGACATGGGAGGGCCTTCCGTGATCATTGTGTGCCCTAGATGCTCATATTTACAGATATAATATCAAACAGATCCAAGAGTAGAAACAACTGTGACCCTGAGTGTTCAGAGCAGTCGGTGCCTGAGCTTTTAACTCACTTATACCTACACTAAAGCCATAATTCTAATATTTTGACATGTGTAATATTTCTGTAATTACTTATAACTCATAACATAGAGTTTTGGTTTGGTTTTCCTCTTTTTCACTGAGGGAAGATGGACAGTCTTCACTTTATTTCAAAATGAATAATATGTAATGATAGTTCTGTTTTTTTGTACAGTCATGTGATCTTGTGGTTTTCACTGATGCCAGTTTGAAAACGTATCAAATAATGCACGACTTCCGTAAGTGTTAAACAGTATCAAACATTTTAAACATTGTGGATCGGTAATGCTAATGTGACTGATACTTTTTTTTTTTTTTAAACAGCAGGGGAGATAATGTTTTACACCACTGCGACAGAGCATTTACGTGGAGAGCAACAAAAGGAACGTGTGCGTTGGTACTTTCCAGAGACCTGGATCTGGATGGACACAAACACCAGGTGATATTTCAGTGTCAGACTGTAGAAACAGTTGCCTCCTGCTGTTTCATGTGACCTTTACTCTACATATTGAAAAATAGAGTTTAAACAAAAGTTTTCAAATTTTATGTAAATTGTAAGGCTGCAGCACACAGACACCAGAATTTCACACACGCAAAGCACAATTTTCTTGAACAGTTGATATAAGAACACAGGTCACATTATTTTGGAGACAGTTGCATTTAAAATACTGCAAAAGGCAATATCAAGGCAGTTTATTTTCTTCACACCGAGTGCCACTATGTACAGGTGAAGGAAAGGGATTTGGGGTCTCTAGGGGTCACGAGGGCAGTGAGGGGAAAACGCACACGGTTAATTCAGACACAGGACTTCTCCTCCCAGGGATTCCTTTTCGCGCTCACACCGCACCAACACACCACATTCACAACAGATCAGTAGCAGGTCCTCGGGTGGGGCATGCAGAGTCAGGCATGAAAAGAGGAGATTGGTATCAGAATAGCACTTCAAAGAGAAACTTGAAGAAAGCTGCTGAATACAGGAAACACTGACGAAGGTTACACAATAATCCAGCGACGAAGCATTCCCAGTGGCTGCCTTAAGTAGAGGTGGACCGATTCGATATTACGTATCGGTCCGATACTGACCTAAATTACTGGATCGGATATCGGAAAGAAATAAAAAATGTAATCCGATCCATTAAATCACGAAAGCGCCTCACAAAACTTGCGACACGCTGTAACTCGCCTCATAACCTTAGCACATTGAAGCAGTATGCATCACGTGATAGAGCGGCTGTGGCGTGCGAGAGGTGTCGGTGGTCTGGTTCAGCATTTGGAGCCTCGCTACCAATCTATATAGTAACTGTTAAGTCTAATATACCCTAGTAAGCTATAGTACTTTTTCCTTTGGGAAGGCTGTGCAGTCTGCAATTCTGTTGAAGAAAGATGTTGAATCTATTTAATATTTCTTGAAAAAAAAAAAAAGATTTCTGTGCATTTTTTCCCCCCCCCACACTGCATCAAATTAAAGTTGATTACGTCAATTAAGCATCATGAGGTGGAGGGTTCCCTTTTTCTTTTTTTCTTTTTTTCTTTGTTGCTGGGAGTTGAAACCCTATTAGTTAGGTACTCTAATAGGGTTTCAATAGGCACTTAAGTACTCTTTAAAATACCAGAATAGGGAGGATGGTGTAGGTTTAAGTTTATTAGATTGATCAGTATTGCTGAACTATGAAAACATTTTTTGCATACAGGTATAACAGAATAGCTTTAGTGCTGTTGTTTTTTTGTTTTGTTTTTTTAAACTTGAGTATGAACTTAGGCAAAATGCAGCAAGATATTTAAAAAACAGTTTTATTGATTAAAAAAACACTATATCGGATTGATATCCAAATTCATCATATCGGTATCGGACATAAAAAAGTGGTACGTGCCATCTCTAGCCTTAAGTAGGGAGCCTGTGAGAGTGTTGGTCAGATGATTGTTTGCAGGTGCGGGAGCCATGGGCGGGAGTCACAATGAACTCCGCCCCGGTAGTGCGCAGGGCGCGAGAGGGGAGGGAGAAGGGGCAAAATATACAGAAACACTTGTAGCCATACTGAGTCTGCCGAACAGGCACAGAGACCATGACAATAGCAGGAGTAAAACAGGTGGAGATGTTGAATTCAATCAGTCCACTTAGCAGAAGTGAGGCCAAGAGGCTGTCAAGAAATGCAGTTCCTCTAATGTCCAATAAATCCACAGACCCCAAAGTTAACAGCAGAAATAAACATGTTTATAGTTTGGGAAAAGCCTCTACTTTTGTTCTCTGTGAAGGTTCTCATTCATCCAGGTCAGGGGTCGGCAACCTGTGGCTCTTTAGTCCTTATAGTGCGGCTCCGCGTGGTTTGGGAAAATAGAAGTATTTAGTTGAAGTGTATTTTATTTATGTTAGTTCTTTTTTAACTTGTAGTTCTAAATTGGAAGATTATTGTGATATTGAAATATAAGAATACAATTATATTCTATTATTTTTTTCATCGCTCAAAATAAGCGTCACACTCGTGGAAGCTGGTATATCCGCTGAAACACCACGCATTTATCGAGACTTTCAGCCCCAGGTAGGCCAATTATTGACCTTTGGTAAACTATGTTAAAAACAAACACTGCTCATGCCTCACAGATGACAGCTTACAATCCTGCGTAAAGATGAAAGTGACTTCGTACAGCCCCGATTTGCAGACGCTGTGCGCAGACATTCAGGAGCAGAAGTCCCATTGTACCATGGCAAGCCTGACGATGTTTGCATGAACACGCTTTTCAGCATCTCTTTATTGACCACTTTTCACACACGGTTGCTATACACAGCCCGACACATACCAACACAACAGCATAGAGAGCACAGACGTTCAGGTGGCGAGGGGTGATTGCGGGTGCTGCTCAGGTGCGTCCGACTCCCCTGTAGTGGCGCTGCAGACCACGCCCCGCCACACACGTTAACCAGGTAAATTACATATTTAGGCAGAATTTTGCAAATATCTATTTTTCTTTTCTTTAGCAGTATAGTGCTTTTTTTTCCAATTATTTTTTTAAAAGCCAGGTCAAGGCTCCAAAAGCCCAAAGGCGAGTAGGGTGGCAGCTCACAACAGTATTTGTTTGCTACATGGATCATTTTAGTTCAGTTGGGCGTCTTTCCTTTTGTTATATTTCTTTAAGAGTGTTAATTACATAATTAAATGTAATTTTCTCTGTAGCACTTCATAGATTTCATAAGCAACACACCTTAGTTGTTCACACAAAGCATAAAAGTAAAAAACAATAATTACAGTGTTATCTTCATTTTAGATGTCAAAAAGCATTTGCGGCTCCCAGTGTTTTCTTTTGTGTGGAAACCGGGTCCAAATGGCTCTTTGGGTGTTAAAGGTTGCTGACCCCTGATCCAGGTAATTGTGGTCTAAGTTTGGAAAGAAAAGCGTCTGGGCGTCTTTAAGTTTTCTTGAAGATGCTTCACCTCTAATCCAAGAAGCTTTTCAGTTCCAAGAGTAATTGGTGGAGAGTCCCAGATTTTAAACCCCATGGGAGTGTCCCCAAGAGGGTCTTGGACCCCCTATTGTTCCTCTACCTAATCACACAGCCAAGGTGTGAAAACTGTTTTGGCTCACTGTGGTGGGACGTGGTCTGCGGTGCCGTGCAGGGAGGGTGGATGCCGTGCATCCTTAATCACGCCCACCGAGTTAAAACATGGGGACTCAGGGGTCGGTGTGTATTGTGGTGTGATGAGATGTAAATAAATGGCTCATAATTGCGATCTGTGGTCCCGTCGTGCCATATTCACACCACAGTCACAATCAGCCAAGGTTTTGGGTGAACCCATTGTGAATCCTAGCCTCACTCTATCATGTGATTTATTGAGGTTAAATGGCCCAGGATGTGAGTGGGTGTTATTTTTGCTGTTACCTTGGCATATAACCTTAGGAGATGATGTCCCATATACATTCATATTTATGAAATGATAAAAGATATTACCAAGCTAACGCTGAGTAAGCTGTGGTGCAAAACAAAGGCTCAAACAACACAAAGAAGGTGAAGCCACAAACAGTCAGAGATCTCATAGATAATGGTCAGGATCTAAGTTTTTAAGAACTTTTTTTTTTCTTCTCCAAATAACCATTCTCCAACCTGCAAAGACAAAAGACAACGCACCTCCAACACCTAACATTTTAAGTCAGTAAGCAAACATACTGTTTGTAAGAAAGCTGATGACCTGCACGGTATGATTCTTCAGAAACCGTTGGGTCAGATGCAGTTTTTTAAAATTTAAAGTTCTCTCTCTTCTTTTTTTTTTTTGCCGTTTGTTGCAGTAATTCAAACACAAAGGAAATGGCGCTAACTGTACCAGACAGCATCACAACCTGGATTGCCACTGCCTTTGTGATGTCTGAGAATCTGGGACTGGGAATTGTAGAGCAACCAGCAGAGGTATTAAGGTTTATATATTTAATTCATTTTAATTTTTAACCCTGTATTATTAAATTTATTCACAGTATGGCTTTTTGGCTTATTAATCTGAGCAGTAGCTGTTAGCATTAGCATCTCTTGTAACCAGGTTTTCTATGCAACCTTCGTGCAGCTGACAGTGTTCCAGGATTTCTTCCTGTCCTTAAATCTTCCGGCCTTCATCATCCGGGGAGAGGAGCTGCTGCTGGAGATCATTCTGTTCAACTACCTCCAAGAGGACCAGAAGGTGAATCTGCTTCTCCTCAGACACAGGCAGAGTGTACATTAATATAAGAGTCTGCCAGCATTAGACAAATGGGTCATTTTTAACCCTTGGTACGGTGCTAAATTAGCTTTATTATGGAGACTGCCAAAAATAAAATTAAAGGAATAAGTTAGAAAAAAGAAAAGTACATGTTTAAAAATAAAAAATGTTCAACTGTGTGGTCTAAAGAATGTCCTATATTTTATATATAGGAATATAAATATGGACATCAAAGAATTACTTCTCAAAGTATACTGTAAGAGAAAACCTTTTCTTTAATAGTTAAACAGCTTTTGACCTTTGGAAAATTCTTTATTGTTTTTATTTATTTTATCGGTTGTTATTTTAAGAGTGTGTGCTTTCTTTTTTAAGTTTTGATCATGATAACTTTTATTTCATTTTGTAAAGTTTTTTAACTATTATTTATCTATTTGTGGGATTTGAGGCAATAAGAAAACAAATAAAGAATATTAAGTCAGAAATATACATTTATGTCAAATTTATAGATTAATTATTTCCCATATTAATTTTTTTAAATAAAATATTTATTTTTATTACATGTAATCATAATCTGTATGTATTTATGTAATAATAAATTTTGGGCATTTAATTAATTGTTGCATACTTATGGCAGCTTCTGCCTGCCATACATTATTAAATCACAATACAGTACAGCAGAGTTAGACTTTTGTAAGATGCTGCCACCTAGAGGAACCATAAGCAGACAGTATAATAGAAGGGTGGCTGCTTTTTAGTTCAGTGTCCAGGATCTTGGTGGTATCAGTGGTGAGTTTCTTTGTTTTCTTTGAACCGAGAGTGTTGAGAACACTTAAAATGTGACCTTTCCCACACATATCTGCGTCTTTTTAAATGCGAAATTCTGTTTAACCAATGTATATTGGGGGTTCTTTACGTGTCAAGTTGCCATAATCTAAGGTGGCATCAGTATTTCTGAAAATTGATATGTTCTTTAAACCCTTCATGAAAGAACAGGCCTCTTTGGTTTCCTCCGACTCCCTTTGTGCCACGTTAAATGTGATCACTCTGTGCCTTTGTCGTTAGGTCACCGTCACTGTTGCACAGAGTGAGACCTTCGAGTTCGTCTTCCCAGACAACGAGCAGCTCTCCACGCCCGGTGTTCATCCGGTGTTTGTGAAGAGTGAAAGCGGAGCCACCGTCCTCGTTCCCATCAGGCCGCTGGTCCTCGGGGAGATCCCCATCTCTGTGAAAGCCAACTCGGATGCAGTGTCCGACTCTGTCCACACAACAGTGTTAGTTAAGGTGCGCAGTGAAAAATTTCCACAGTCCTAAAACAGTTCAAATAATTAATTTGGCTTAAAAATACATTTATTTGTTGTTTTTGTAGAACTTTAACTCTCATGCTTAGATTTTATTATCAATATGAACTTCTGTTATTATCAAGCCTGTTATAAGACTACTACATTGTTAGTCTTTAGTCTGACTAGATCTTGTTATGGGGTTACTGATTGGTCTCTAGGCCTGAGGGGCACCAAATCTCTCTATTAGCTTTTACTGAGAAAGAGCATTTTCCAGGTTTTAACAGATAACAAAATAACTTGTGAAATTGTGACAGTGGAAGTTGAACGTGTATATCCTGTTTGTAAAGTGCCTGTCAGCCATCTAAAGCACAAACAGGCAGGGAACTCTGCTAACGTTACCAATCCTCGCCATCTACTCCACTGTAACTAAAGAAATGTTGACCTGGTTTCACAGCTCTGCGTTTCCCATTTCTTACTCACCATTTTTGTTTGCCTTCATCTTTTGCATGTCCATTCATCCTGCAGGCCGAAGGTCTTGAACAGTCATTTTCCACCTCCCTGCTGCTTGAGCTTTTACCAGCAGGGATGAGCCTGTCTAGAAACGTTACGTTTACCTTCCCACCAGATGTTGTGGAGGGCAGCGAGAGAGCTTCAGTTATGGCTGTCGGTATGTAAACACACCAGGGAGAAACCTTGAGTAACAGATTCAGATCACCTGAGATTGCAGGCTGATTCATGGTAAACAACAAAACAGAAGACAATAATTCCTAAAAATAAGGTTTACTGAAGTTGTTTTCACACACAAACTTTGGAAAGTTTGGAAATATTCCACAGATGTCCTTTGTCACGTGTAGGACTTAGCAGGAAATGGTTTATTTCAGACGGCTTTTCATCAGGTGAGGGAAGTACCTGGATAGAGCGTAGTGTATTATCGTAAGAAAGTACTATCCTGAACTTACAAAACTATGGAGGCGCCTTTTTGACTGAAATTTAGAAGATGAAAAAGACAGTGGAACAATCACCACTTTACCCATATCGTGGTGATATGCTCTTTTAAAATTTACCAATTTCTTTCCTTTTTTAAAGGGTTCTTCCAGTAAGTTATCAAAAAACAGACTAAGCATCCAGGGTACCAGTGATTGTTTTTGTTCCTCTTCCTCATAAATATTAAATTACTGCAGATTATTGTTATTATGATTTAGATTGTCAATCTTGGAATAAGTTACATTTGCATATGTTGGTTTTTGCAGTTTTTAACAGAGTTTGAATACATTTTTCAGCCCTAAAATTGTCATGTGGATATCTCCTGGACATATGATTTTCTAAGAGATTAAAAATGCTGAAAAAAATTTGAATTAAAAATGCATAAAACTCCAACCCTCAATAGTTTACTTCAAGGGCCTGTAAGCTCAGAAAATTACAAATAGAATCAAAGTAAAATGGCCTCATTTAATATGCTAATGTTCATTAAAAAAAAAAATCTGCTGATTCTGATCAGGTAAGAGGCACCAATTTCCTTTGCAGCCTTTACAGCATGTACAGAGATAACATCTAAAACCTTTTACTGATCCCTAAGTAAAAAAACCAACAAAAAAAACTAACTTCAAAATTTACCCCACACCTATACATACATAAAATTTTGAGATTTTTTTTGTTAAATGCTCCCTCCAGGGTAAGCTGACTGTGGTAATTTTAATATTAATTAACGCCACTGTTCCAAAGTACTACAGAAATAATTATCCCACCTTTCCTCAAACTTCTAACATGCATCCTGCTATACTGATATGCACTATGCAGTTATATTTAGTAAGTAAAATTTATTTATAGCACATTTCACAGATAAAAACCACAAAGTGCTTTACAATAAGATCAGACATACAAGTTAAAATTAATTAAAAGCCTGTTTGTATAAAAATGTCTTCAGCTGCTTTTTAAAGGAGTCAGTAGAGTCTAGACAGCGTAAAGACAAAGGCAGAGAGTTCCACAGCCTAGGTGCCAGTGCCTGAAAAGCCCGATCCCCACGTGTTTTAGACCTAGTACGTGGGACCACCAGTAGCCTCTGACCTGAAGACCTAAGTGCTTGGGATGAAGCATGAGGTTTCAACAGGTCAGAGATATACTGGGGAGCTTCACCGTGCAGAGCTCTAAAAGTTACAACTAAAATTTTAAAATGAACCCTAAAATTTACAGGCAACCAATGAAGAGAAGCCAAAACTGGAGTAATGTGTGACCTCTTGTTTGCACCAGTTAAAAGTCTTGCCACTGCATTTTGTACAGACTGAAGGCGATCCAGAGCTGATTTGTTGAGACACGTAAAAAGACCGTTACAATAATCCAAACGAGAAGAGATAAAAGCATGAAGAATCATCTCAAGTTCTGCCTTTGACGCCAGTAGTCTGAGTTTAGAAATGTTTCTTAGATGATAAAAACAGTTCCGGACAAGTTGTTTAGAGTGTTTCTCAAGAGACATTGAACTGTTTAACTCCAGTTAAACGGGAGTATGTTTCTCTCGTTTAACTGTTGCTAAGTTGAGCCCACTAATATTGGTTTGATGTGGCAAATCTTTTTTTCTTCATGGCGGAAAATGTCTTATACTTATAAGTATCCATTATTGTCTTCTATTCTTTTTAAATGCAAGAAGTTTAACTGGAAATTTTGCTGCTGATATGAAAAGCATTTGTGGATTATACCATGTAACTCCTCAAACCAAAAGCTACTGTTTGAAAATTTTAATTAAAATGACTCACCTATGCTCTGTTTTTCCATTAAATACAATTTTTTTTTCTTTTTCTTGTTTCCATCTCGATGAAGGTGATATCCTCGGTCCATCCATCAGTGGTCTGGACTCACTGATCCAAATGCCTTATGGCTGTGGGGAACAGAACATGATTAACTTTGCACCAAACATCTACGTTCTCCAGTATCTGGACGCCACAGGACAGGATAGCCAGAAAACCACAGACCAAGCCATAAACTACATGATGCAAGGTAGAGCAACAAGTCATGCACCATGTTACATTAACATGCCACAGAAGGATATCTGACAAACGTGTGGCTACTATTTCTATATTAGTTTTAGCTTTATGAGGATGTTTTCAAATCTGTTAATTAAAAAGGTCAAATTCAAGATCAAATACAGAAAATGTTCAGGTTGGAGATTCATAGTGGGACCCACACTCTTTAACTTTTATTTTTTAAGGTTTGTTTTTAATACATTTTCTTCCTTGATACATACTTAAAGCTGGTTGTAAAAATGGGGGCTTGTCTGGGATATTCGAACCAAGGTTAGAACTTTAGCCTTTGTTAATCCCATCTTTGTTTGAAAATTCTGAACTAATTTTCTTGTCAGTAAAGCTGTTGGTGTTCCCTTTCAGTCGATTCTCTCGGCACAACACATACAGTGGCTTGCAAAAGTATTCTGCCCCCTAGAACTTTCCCACATTTTGGGACATCTCTTGCACATAGACATTGCCTGATGAGTGCTAATGACTAAATAGAGTGCACCTGTGTGTAATCTAATGTCAGTACAAATACAGCTGCTCTGTGACGGCTTCAGAGGTTGTCTAAGAGAATATTGGGAGCAACAACACCACGAAGTCCAAAGAACACACCAGACCGGTCAGGGATAAAATTGAGAAATTTAAAGCAGGCTTAGGCTGCAAAAAGATTTCCCAAGGCTTGATCATCCCACGGAGCACTGTTCAAGCGATCATCCAGAAATGGAAGGAGTATGGCACAACTGTAAACCTACCAAGACAAGGCCGTCCACCTAAACTCACAGGCCGAACAAGGAGAGCGCTGATCAGAAATGCAGCCAAGAGGTGACTCTGGACGAGCTGCAGAGATCTACAGCTCAGGTGGGGAAATCTGTCCATACGCAAAGTTGGCCTTTATGGGAGAGTGGCAAGAAGAAAGCCATTGTTAACAGAAAACCATAAGAAGTCCCGTTTGCAGTTTGCCACAAGCTATGTGGGGGACACAGCAAACATGTGGAAGAAGGTGCTCTGGTCAGATGAGACCAAAATGGAACTTTTTGGCCAAAACGCTATGTGTGACGGAAAACTAATACTGCACATCACTCTGAACACACCATCCCCACTGTCAAATATGGTGGTGGCAGCATCATGCTCTGGGGGTGCTTCTCTTCAGCAGGGACAGGGAAGCTGGTCAGAGTTGATGGATGGAGCCAAATACAGGGCAATCTTAGAAGAAAACCTCTTGAAGTCTGCAAAAGACTTGAGACTGGGGCGGAGGTTCACCTTCCAGCAGGACAACGACCCTAAACATAAAGCCAGGGCAACAATGGATGGTTTAAAACAAAACATATCCATGTGTTAGAATGGCCCAGTCAAAGTCCAGATCTAAATCCAATCGAGAATCTGTGGCAAGATCTGAAAACTGCTGTTCACAAACGCTGTCCATCAAATCTGACTGAGCTGGAGCTGTTTTGCAAAGAAGAATGGGCAAGAATTTCAGTCTCTGTGCAAAGCTGGTAGAGACATACCCTAAAAGACTGGCAGCTGTCATTGCAGCAAAACATGGTTCTACAAAGTATTTACTCAGGGGGCTGAATAATTACGCACACCCAACTTTGCAGTTATTTATTTGTAAAAAATGTTTGGAATCATGTATGATGTTTGTTCCACTTCTCATGTGTACACCACTTTGTGTTGGTCTTTTATGTGGAATTCTAATAAAATTGATTCTTTTTTTTTTTTTTTGGCTGTAATGTGACAAAATGTGGGAAAGTTCAAGGGGGCCGAATACTTTTGCAAGCCACTGTACAAGAGGCTTGTATGCTTACAAATGGCGAGCCTTCGAGCAATGGTGCCAGGACTGCCACACTCTCCCATTTCAGACCACTATTGTGGATGTTTTGACATTCCTGCAGGAGCTGCTGGATAAGGGCCTTTCATTTTCGACAATTAAGATTTATTTGGCAGCTATATCTGCTTGTCATATTGACTTTGACGGGGTGACACCAGGCGCACATCCCCTCGCCATACGTTTTCTGAAAGTGGTTTGCCGGCTGAGACCTGTGCTTAGGTCCAGTGTCCCTGCTTGGGACTTGTCTTTGGTGCTGGAGGTCCTTTGTAGCCCACCGTTTGAACCCATTGAGTCTGTGGATATGAAATTTCTTTCATATAAGACTACATTACTTCTCGCTTTGGCTTCGGCACCTGATGGCCACAAGGTCATATTGCGTCCAAATGCTGCCTATTTTCCCAAGCTCATGCCTGCATCTATTAGCTCAATGGAGTTTGAGTTGCTGAGCATTTGTTCCCCTCCTTTTGCATCTGAGGAGCAGAGGAGGATGCATTCTCTTTGTCTAGTGCGTGTGCTATGCACCTACATTGAACGCACTCAGAATGTGCGTTTATGTGACCAGCTGTGTGTCTGCTTCGCTCTGTCTAAACAGAGGCTGTCTCACTGGCATATGGCACCAGAGGTCTTGCTTTGTCCCAGTGGGTGAGAGCTCATTCCACCAGGGGGATGGCAACCTCGTGGGCTCTTTTTAAAGTGGTGCCTGTAGCTGATATTTGTGCGGCAGCTAGTTGGGCATCACCACACAAAATTTTGCGGTTTTATCGGTTGGACGTTACAGCCCCTTCAGTGGCTCATACCGTCCTTTCTGCTGGGTCTACCGCTCACTAAGGATGTGGTGGTCCGATTCCGGTTTGGTGGCTGCTCTGCAGGGCGTGTATATGGGCTGGGTTTCGTCACTGATTTCTAGAATCGATTTGATTCCGATTCACAAGGTCCCGAATCGATTCGATCCACGATTCGATTCAGTTCAATTAGATTTGAATCTGGGAAATTTTGCCTCAGACAGTCAGAAATATTATAATTCAGATCAGTACATTTACATATTTTTGTATCTATAAAAAAGGAGGCTGACACTCGCAAGACTTTATCAAAAGTGTAAGCATCACAGCAGATGCCTTTGTGTCAAAGTAGCTGAAGATAAAACGCAGAAAAACATGAAGGTGATTTTCCTGGCCTGGGATTTTATAAAAATATTCTGCAGTACATCAAAAACGAAAGAATCAACATACGAACATTACCTCTGAAGTTACAGAGGTTTTATTAGAGACACGGCTAAGCATGTTGCATAATTTAAAAAAGTTTACATTTGTTCAGAAGCCTATTGAACAGCAGAAATTAGGTTTTCTTTTCGGAAGTAAGGAAAAAAAACAGCAGCCAAAAACGGTAGACCTGTGCATAACAAGCAAGCGAATAATGCAGAAAACAGATTTTTAGACAGGAAACTGTTCTTGAAGTACACAGAGAGCGAGAGCTGTGCATGAAGTGTGATTTTTATCATGTTGGAAGCAAAACAGCAAAAGTAAGAGGGAATTCATGACGATGTTTATGTGAAGTGTAGTTTGGATCTTCTTTTGCTGCTGGTTCAGTCAATATAGTTTGGAGAGAGATAAAACTAACAGCTTTAGAATCAGCGCAAAAAGGGCGTAAACACAAAGCGCAGACCCGCCGAAACATCAGAATCGGTGAGCTGTCGGCTTTCAGCCCCGACCATGTCCGTGCCATCGGGTGAGAAAGGCGACATCTCAACACAAGGTGGCCCCACTGAGCAGTTTGGCTCGGTGAAGAGCGGCTATCGAACTGAGGGATGACTATGATGACAGCGGCTATATGTGCAGGCGGGGCCGTGCGCATGTCATCACACGTCATCTGCCTTAAAGGCGTGAATAAAGGTTTCTTCAGCCAAGACACACGAGGGCATGATATCCCATACTTATGTGTTTCACCTCCTTCCTCTCCTTCAGGGAACAGAAGTTATAGACATAACTATTTGTTTTCTTTTAATCAGTTACTTTACAAGCATTGGGGTTTTCATGTGAGAAGTGATAACAACTGTAGTTCCTACTGTGTGTGGTTTCCAGACCCATTTCTTTGATGTTTTATTTGTCAGGTTTCAGTTAACGGACTCAGGCGCAGACCGGGACTCCTTACAGGATTTACAGATTTTATTTACACAACGACACCAGGTGATGCTATTTACAAAGTGCTGGAGGGAGGGGAGGGGGGTCCAGGGTTCCGGGGTATGTGAGGGAAAAGACGGGAATCTGACGTCCTCCAAAGGCTCTCTCTCTTCACTCCCCACACTGGGGAAACACCATCCACTCACTCGTCCACGGGATGACAGGCAGGCAGGGAAAGGTCCGGGATAGATCTGTACACAGAGATTATAGTTAGAGGCGAACAGACGGAACGAACTCACAGATCCTTATTTACAATCTACTGAGCGACTGACGCTGATAACTCAACGATCCAGCGACGAGTGACACAGTGCTGCTGTCTTAAATCGGCCTTGTGATTATCCCGATCGGCAGCAGGTGCGTGGGCCAGGGGCGGGAGCCCATAATGAGCATCGCCCCGGCAGGAGAGAGAGAGAGAGAGAGAAAACATGTTGCCTAATACAGAATCAGCTGGTGAGGCACAGGGACCATGACAGTACCCCCCCCCCCCCCCCCCCCCCCCCTCAACGGGAGCCCCCCGGCGACCCACCAGGCTTATCCAGATGCAGACGATGGAACGCCCGCAGCATGCGCCGGTCCAGGATGGCCGCCCGAGGGACCCAGGACCGCTCCTCCAAGCCATAGCCCTCCCAATCCACCAGGTACTGGAAGCCACGCCCCCGCCGCCGAGAATCCATGATACGGGTGATCGAGTAAGCCAGCAGACCGTCCACGAGCCGGGGGGGAAGGGGGCCTGGAAGGCGGGCACAGAGGACTGGACCGGAGAGGTTTAACCTGAGACACATGGAAAACATCGTGTATCTTCATGTTGCGAGGCAGCTTGAGCTTAACAGACACAGGGTTAACCAAAGCCGAGATCTCGAACGGGCCGATATAGGCAGGAGAGAGCTTCCTGGATTCCGCCCGGATGGGAACGAAGCGTGTGGAAAGCCATACCTTCTGCCCAACAGTATAGGCGGGAGCGGAGGACCGGCGGCGGTCAGCGAA